GGGGGGGGGGGGGGGGGGGGGGCGCGTCTGGCCAGTACTATGGAGATCTGAACCTATGACCTTGGTGTTACAAGGCTGTGCTCTAACCAACCTGGTAACATATTAATAAAACGATATGGAGACTTTGTCTACATAAGTTTTCATCCCATAAATCAATATATATAACTCTACAAAGAACACGAAACAAAAGGAGGACACTGAAAGTCTATTAGAGGCTCTAGGCAAAAGGTACAAGGTGGCTTCTGTCACCAAGATCTCTAAGATCTTTAAAAAAAACCTTAAAGACCACCCAAACTCATGAACTGCAAAACAGTTTTCTGTAAGCAAAGAGATACTTTCTACATTTAGTCACGTGGATGGTAAAGAAATCTTATTACAGTACATACATATATTTGCATTAAGCAGTTTGTTATTTTTCAGCCAGTTAAAATATCCCAATGTCTTGTGACTTTTGAACAAGGCTGTTGATGACATCAAAAACAAAAACCAGTAAACAGCTTAGAGTCAAAAAGTTTAATTTTACTACAATTGTCTTTAAAGTCCACTATGATCTTGACAAATATTACAGGTAAGTCTATAGCAAGTCTTTAATTTCCAAGATACAAAAAGACAATAAATATAGATTCAAATTCAGACTAAAAACAAGATTCTAAATCTAATTAACTGTAGTGTAGCTTAAGTTTCAATATTTCAAATATATGTGTAATTCTTAAGATGCTACAAGAATTCATATAATGAAGTTATTGCTTACTGACAACCAACCAACAGTTCTTCACTGACAATATACAAGAGTACGGTGCCTTCCAGCCTTCCCATAAGGCCCCTGAGGGCCTGCTGGTGCTGGGGGATAGTCAGAGGTGGCACGATGATGGCACTGGTCCTTTCTGGCAGGAGGACTGGAGCAGGTGCTGAAAATGCCCACTAAGCAGGACATGAAGCTGATTTCCCAACAACCCAATAAATGGTCCTATTTCTTGCAGAAAACAGGACTGTCGCCATATATCTTTCTGAGTGCTACATGCTACCCTTGCTCCAACACAGTATGGTCTGCTTACTTCTAAGATCCATTTCATTGTGCTCAGTGTCCTCTACTAATAGTAAATTCATCAATCCTTCATTTTCTTCCAGAGCACATTCTTCATTGCTTTCAAGCTACATTGTCATTAAAATAAGTCTTGTGAAATTTTTTCCAAAAACAATCATATTACTTCTTAGTAATAACAGAGATTAATTCTTCATTAACTAAAATTCTGTAGAGTTTCAGGCCAAGCTCCTTTGTCTTGGTTTAATTCTTGGGTACAGCTGTAAGAGAGTTTAAAAAAATGTTTACATACTACACAGACATGTGGGATTATAACAAGATCTCAATAAACAGGCAAAAGGCACAAGGAGGCTTCTAATGCCATGATCTCTAAGATCTTAAAAAAAAAAACCAACTTAATTCTATACTAAAGACCACCCAAACTCATGAACTGCAAAACATAATTTTCTATGAGCAAGGAAATACTTTCTACATTTAATCACGTGGTTAGGGGACGGAGGGGGGAAGCTGATGTCACAGGAAAGTACTCTGCTGCCATGTGAAGCACCCAGAGCTGCCCACGAAGATGCACATTTAGCAATGCTCTAATCAGCTACTCTGCAAAGGACATTCAGAGATCACAAGGGTCCATCAACTGTGACAAACCTGGAGCAGTGATATAAAAACCTATGACAGCTCTGGGCATTAACTCAATTTACACAGCTTGTTAAACTGTTAAGTCTAACAAGAAGACTAACCACTGAAGGTGATTTCATGCTATACGCTCCAGCGTTAGCGGCTTCCATCGGGAGGGAAGAAAGATGAGCGATTTAAAGTCTTTCAACTTGGGCCGGCCCGGTGGCGCACTGCTACAGTGCACCGCTTGGGAAGCGCGGCGGCGCTCCCACCCGAGGGTTCGGATCCCACATACAGACCGGTTCCCGCTCACTGGCTGAGCAAGGTGCGGGAGCAGCGCCGAGTGTTGCAATCCCGTTGCCGGTCCCCGGTCCGGTACGGGCGCAACACTGAGGGTTGCGATCCGTTGCCGGACACGGAAAAAGACAAAAGGCAAAATAAATAAATAAATAAATAAAGTCTTTCAACTTTATTGACAATGGATGTATATTGTGTCACGGGACTTGAGACTGTCAGGAACGAAACACCACAGACTAAAAGTTTACAGACTTAAGGAAGAATAGGTGAGTTTTTCACTTTAGCATTTTGTGGTTTCGGGTTTTCCATAACAAGAGCTGGAGAGGAGTGTTGGTGAAGGCTGGAAGGTCTCCAGTCTTGAAGCGAAGAGCAGGTCAAACTAGTGGTTCAACTGGCAGACTAAACAAACACAAAACCCTCCTCCAGCTCCTCCCTTTGACAAAGGGGGAAAACGCTTTCCTGAAAGAGAGTGGAGTCAGACTTCCAGCCAAAACTGAAAAACTAACTGATGGATTGATGTCATACATTTTTCTATCTGAGAAAATATATTTATCCAGTACAATTTTCTAGACTCATGTCTGATCCTCTGACTAAAAATTCAACATTTATGCACTTTCCTTTTAAAAATAAAAAATAAAAAAAACCCCAAAAAAGTCGTGTAGAGGACATGTCTAACCAGAAAAAAATTCCAAAGGACTAAGAATATCTAAGTTTAGGACTAAAATGAAAATCGTCAGTCCAGCCTGTCAATTTGAGAACCTGGTGGAGCTGTGCACGAGGGAGACGTCTCTGACCACTGCTTCCACATTTGAGAACAAACAATTCTTCCTTTTTCACTAACATCAGGGACTCTTTGTTAGAAAATTAAGATAATTCAAGAGATCTATTGTACAAAACCCAATGGCTACAGTTAAAAATGTATCGTATATTTGAAAATTGCTAAGAGAATAGATTTTAAGTATTCTCACCACAAAAAAATGACAACTATATGTGGTAATGCATATGTTAATTAGCTTGATTTAGCTATTCCACAAGGTATACACATTTCAAAACATGTTACATACCATAAATGTACGTAATTTTGTCAATTTAGAAAATAAATTAAAAACTCAAATAAGCAAGTAGTTCTAAAAATTAGAACCTTTCCCAGACAAGAAACTGCAAAAGGTACTATGTAAACAGGTGCTTGCTTACTGCTGATGTTCATTAGAGAGGGACAGAGGCTGCCTGTGAGAGGCTGCGCTTCTCCAGGGCTAGGGACTTTGTAGAAGCAAACAGGGGGCTTGAAAGAGAACCACCTTTATATTTCTACTTTCTTCTGGTAATTTGAAAGCTTTTTTAAAAAGTTCTCCACAGCCCTTTTTTTTTTCACTTTCCCTATGCTTTATAATTTATACTATGATCACATAAACGCACATGCAGGCTGTGTAAACTCCAAACATTTATTTCATAATACATTTTGCTAACAGGAAGGCAGCAATCAAGATGCACCACGTTGTCTACACTGCATGTTAGACAATGAGGAAGGGAGAGTCAGGAGGAGGAGGAGATGGGGGGCAGAATCCAGACTACCAGGTCCCAACACTGGAGTCATTTCAAGGAATTCCACAGAAAGTTATGCCTAGGCAGTGGGCCATTCCCAGACAGGATCCTGTTCATGGCCCAGATACCACAGTAGAAGCTCCAACTGGACAGAGTCCACGTCTGTCTGACACTCGATGAAAATACCAATAGTAATATCTACCAATTGCTCTAAAGTAGACCCCTGCATTATCTTAGGAGGCAGGATTCTCCAGCCCTCTCCACCTTCCTTCCGCTATCTGGTTATCCAGATAAATGCTGCAGGTGGGTCTGAAGTGACATGAAAGCCAAGTCCTCGTGACCTCCATGCCATGTACTGTCTATCACAACTGGCTCCTCCTTCCCTCAGGTCTTTCCTCACTTCCTCACCAACTGCGGATTTTGCAAGCACTTTCATCTTTAAACTTTTATCTCAATCTCTCAATTATTCTTATCATTTCTCTCACTCTTTTTCAGCACTCAACACATCCCCCGTGCACATACGATCACGTATTAGAATAAAGGTTGAGTATCCCCTTACCTAAAACACTTGGGACCAAGTGTTTCACATTTTGGACTTTTTGAGATTTTGGAAATATCTGCATTATACTTACTGGCTGAGCATCCCAAATCTGCAAATCCAAAATCAGAAATGCTCCAATGAGCATTTCCTTTGAGAGAAATGTCAGTGCTCAAAAAGTCTTGAATTTTGAAGCATTTCAGATTTTAGATTTTCAGATTTGGGATGCTCAACCTGTAGTTGAATCTATGAAAGAACTTAATGCCAAGTTATAAAACATGTTATTTTTGCTTTTCTCCTCTGTCCAATCATACTCTAGCCTGTTCCCTGAAAAACTACTCCTGAGAGTCTTCACCTGATGACAGTAGCATCATTGTACAATATAAAAGTGTTATTGGTTTGTCTGTGCTTATTTTATTATTTTCTTGAATTTTATAAAAACTTAAATCAAACAGTGGAGAAAGAACAAAGAATCTTGTCTTCAACGCCCTGTTCAAGCTCTTTACCAGATTTGCAAATCCCAATTTAGACAGATTTAAAATTTATTTCAAATGTCACAAGCTCACTTCCAATCAGATTATCCAGTTATCTTTAGTCTGTTTATAAATATACACAGCATCCCTGACCTCTAAGGGCTGGCAAACATATAAATATGCTCCTGATCACAATAGGAATCACTGAAAATGTGGCATATATAAATAAAAACATCACAAGTACTGGAATCACTCACTCCCAGCAGGTTGCGTGGAACATATCCCTCTTTATCACTAAGGCGTGCCCACCACCACTCAATTTCATCTTCGTCTTCCCGGCGGATGATTGTCATGCAGTCTCCTTCTTTCATGGGCAGCTCATCATCATTCTGAGGTTCATAATCCCAAAGAGCATAAATGACTCCTTTATTCATTATGCCCATTTTCTCCTGAACCCCTAAAATCACGACAGTAAGACAGCACAGAACATATAACTCAGTGTATTAAGAACTTTTAGCTATATGAAACAAAATGGGAAGAAATGGGTTCAGGCTGCAATGTTAGAATTACTACATTAAACATTAAATAAATAAATTTCCCAAGGTGGAGGGAGGAGTAGAAGGCCAACAGTGTACAGGGAACATATGAAAGACACATGAACATAGGATATCGTCTCCAAAACAGCTGTAACATCCAACACCCTATAAGCATCTCTCAAAACTGGTCTTATTCAGAGTTCAAAAACTCCTACAAGCCCAGGAATAGAAAAAAGAACTGTTCTAGTCTAGAATATTAAAAAAGTGAATGATATGCCTGTCAAATCTCAGCCTACTCCTAAGTGCAACGACTAAGAAACTCTTAGAACATTTCTTCATTCTTTATCTAAAAGTCAGAGCAGACATAGTAAAAAGATAACTTCTAATCTTTTTACTATGTCTGCTCTGACTTTTAGATAAAGAATGAAGAAATGTGTCTATGAAAGCGGTCTCTATCAAGTTCCAAATGGACAAAAAGAAAAGAAAAAAAGTTGCAAAGTATGTCAGAATGCAAAAATATAATGCTTCAGACATGATACCTACTTACAGTCAGCTCTAAAATAACGAGAATCAGAATTCTAAAAGACGTTGACCACAAAATGGGGAGGGAAAAATCCTCAAAAGTCCACTTTTCACCAGAGTTAGTAACAGATATGCAAGTTAACTACTACTTTAAGTTTCACCTTTCTCTATACCTTTCTATCCTAAAGGCCAATACTAATAAGAAATAACAATCACTGGCAGGCAACAGGAAGAAAGCAGAGAAGGGAAGGAATTAAACAATAAAGTTCTGAGTAGTTCAAAGTTAGTTACTATTTTCACTTTAATGTTTTTTTAAAAGCCAGGAAAATACCTGCTTGCTTTTGAATAGTCAGATTTTTCAATTTATATAAGCACTAAAATATTAATTATGAACTTATTATTCCTATACCAATTAATATGATACAGCACATAGTATCTCTTTCACTCTGGGCAAAAATGAAACAAAAAATGAAACTGTTCTTCAAAAGAAGGATCTGCCAATTTAAAGGGTCAAGTAACTTTCCATCTTTCCTGTTTAACTAAGACACGCAAAGCATGACGGTTAGATTCACAAGGACGATAAAACTTTGTATAACTATAATTCCAAAAGTTTTAAAGCTGGCCAGATGCATTATCTGGGATGGAAATGCAGAAGGGGGTAAAATAGAAATTCTGTAATTCTAGTATACTCAAAATACCAGGTCAAGTCCCAATTTCAGAGAAATCATTAGAAATGAAAGAGTATTTTTCATTACTTCGGTATTTACCAGATTAAGAGTTGCAGATTACTCTTTTAAGGAATCTCTGAGGGGCTTAACAACATGCTGAATGTCACTGGTAATTTAAGTAATACAAACAAGCCACAATGAAATATCATTCCAAATCCACCAAGGGTCAAAGAGAAGACAGAGCAAAAGGAACTCTCTGCCTGATGCACATCACTGTAACCTGGCAGTTCTGCTTGTAGACATGCACCAGAACACAAACACAAAAACATTCATAGGAGCGGCAGGAGGGAGGAGGAAGCCCACGAGTCCTTTGAAAATGGAATGGAAAGATAAACTGTGTATAGTCATAAAATGAGCAGTACAGCCCAGTTAAAATAAAACTATAGTGACATGCAACACAAGTGACTCTCAAAAGCAGTGCTGAATGAAGAGACCAGGCCACAGCATCACCAGTATGGTTTATTTTATATAAAAGATCAAAAACAGGAAAAACTAAAAACATTAATTGTAGGATTCTAACACAAATGATACACTGCTTTTAAAAAATAAGGCATGCTGAACTTCAAGGTAGTGGTCACCAGACCTAGGAGGGCCATATCAGAGATGGGCGTCACATCACAGAGAGTGATCATGTTCTTTTCCTAAGCTGGATACACCAATATTCACTGTGTTCAATCTATTATCATCATTATTTAAACTGCATATCTATGTCACAAGCACTCTTAGTATCTATGGTATATTTTATCAATTTAAAAAAATCTCCCACAAATGTTCCTAGTGTTATTAAAAGTCATATTCCATACCTAAATATAGCTCAAGGTGGCCAGTAAGCTTCATATAGCTAAATATATATTAATATTTTAATTTTAAAGTAACATGTTAATATAACAAAATATCCTATGGTCCAAAGTCCAAAACATAAAGTAATCATAAATATCAACAATAAAAAGTAAGGGCCAAGCCCGTGGCGCACTCGGGAGAGTGCGGCGCTGGGAGCACAGCAGCGTTCCCACCGCGGGTTCGGTTCCTATATAGGATGGCCGGTGTGCTCACAGCGCTCACTGGCTGAGCGCGGTGCAGCCGGTCTCAAAAAGGACAAAAAAAAAAAACAATAAAAAGTAACAGTAGTGAGGGACTTGAGGTTCGTGATTCTCACCTGGAGCCTAAAAACAGGCAGAAAGACAGAAGGCAATAAAAAGTAACAGTTGTGAGGGACTTGAGGTTCGTGATTCTCACCTGGAGCCTAAAAACAGGCAGAAAGACAGAAGGGAGTGGTTAAACAAAGAAGGCAAGCCTTTAACCTCAGAGGTCTTCCAATCAGCTGGTCAAGGAGTTTCTGAGAACCTGAGCAATATGGACTCCTGGGACCTCCTCATTTGCCTCTGTCTTCCCCCCTCCCCAATTTCTCTCAAGACAAACTGGAGAGAAAAATTAACTTCTAAGTCATGTAAATAAAAAAAGTTTCCTTGCAAGTAAAAATGCCAGCCAACACAAATCCATATAAAACTTCAAGTCCTTT